TTGTAAAATTTAAAATGAAATAACTCCCATATATATGCATTTCATTCCACCGACATAAAACCCTCCCCATATTGATAAGATTCATAAAGCAAATTAGTGAAAAAAGATAAAGCAGAGAGTTTGCAATTCACGTATCGAATACATTTATGATTATATAAACCATGAAGAGGCTAACTGGATCTACATCAAACATTGTTTATTCATTTTTAATGCCCTTAGCAAAAGCAAAGTGAATGCGATAAAGCGGAGACTAAACAAGGCAAGTATCGAATAAAATAAATCAACCTGTTTGCACTATATATAAACCATGAGGAAGTTAGTTGTTTGTACATCATATTTTATAAATCCATATATACTTATTCTTCATTCAAATGGCCGACTCATCAATCCCTCTTTGCCCTCCACATGCTTTAGCGCAAACACAAGAAGACTTAAAGTACTTATATGCATCAAATACTAATGTTTCTAACTTTGTCTCTGTGAAGCTTTCCAGTGATCGCAATTATCATCTTTGGGAGACACAGATGTTTTGCCTCCTGGAGACTTACAATCTGCATGGCATTGTAGACGCTACATTTATCCATCCAAGAACTTTGAACCCAGAGATCGAGAAACAATATAACAGTCTTGTCAAAGGTTGGATCTTTGGTTCAATCAGCGAAGAGCTACTTGGCACTGTTGTCGATCTTGGTTCAGCAAAAGAGGTTTGGGAGAAGCTGAAATCGTTCTATGATCCAGCTATGATAATTTCTCATCAAGGTACATATCTAACAAACAGAATCGATACTTATGACGTTACATTTATAAATTATCTACAACAATTTTGAATATATTATAAATACTCTTAGCCTTATATACATAATGAGTCATTCTACATTCCTACTCATCCAAAGGGCCTGCACCTAACATCTATGGCATTATTACATATAGAAATTATTTACAATACAAGTTGCTCTCACATGAACTACGTACTATCTAAACGCTTTTAATTTCTTTTGTTTTGCTTCGCGGAAGCCTAATCCATGAACTAAGAAGAAATTGACTTGAAAGATGAAAAAAACAATTATATACTTCTTTATGGATAGAAAATTATAGAGAACGTGAGAAACAAAAGAAGTGAGACTCTTTTTGCAACTCATCTCCCAGATGCGCATCTATATATACTGTATGTGGTTAAGTTATAATCTTTTCCTTATTGATAGAAACAGTCCCTCAGCTTATGGTTAATACACCATTTAACTACACTATCCTCCTTGGCATTCAAACAAAGTCCAACCAGATGTCTAATATAGAAATTCACACACAACAACACAAGTATAGCCAAAAAACACCTTGTCCTCCTCGAACTTGAAAACTTGGACAAGCAATCCTTACTAAACGCCTTTCAAGTCGGACTAGTGTTTTTCACACTCAAATGAATGTCAATTAGCCAACCCTAATCTTCCTTCATATCTACTACATACTAACTTTATACAAACCTTTGTACTCTTGCTGTGACAAACGCTCCAACTGAACTATGGATTCATGAACTCGGTACACACATTCCTTCCTTCCATGGTCCATAAACTATTTTTCTTCACTAAGATAAAAGGAAGACACTTTATTTTCACATCTGAAACCTTCATGTTACAACAAACAAACATGGTAAGAAACAACCAATCTGGAGAACATCACACTACAATGAAATGAACCTGACCAATAAAGAACAAAACCATTTGGTTCCACCTTGAGGTAAAACCTCATAAACTTCCCATGTTAAAACAAAGAACTGTTAGTATATTAGCATATAGGGTTTAGGCCCAAGGCCCTTAGGGTTTAGTATATTAGCATATAGGGTTTAGGCCCAAGGCCCTTAGGGTTTAGGTTAGGTCAAGGGACACTTATGTATCCCTATCTATATGAGGGTTTAACTCTCACTATTAATCAAACAAGTCATTATCTTACATGCTATCGGAGCTGTAGGTTGAAACCCTGCTGACCACAACCCGCAACCGCTGCCCTCTACCTTTGACGACCTTCTCTATTAGTCGTCAAAGGTGCCTTAATTTGGTTCGATTATTTTTCCATTTCATGTTTCTCCTCCTAAATAATAATACAACCATCGGCCCCAAACGAAATCCCCTTCCTTGCTTCTCTTACTGCCTCTGATCCTTTTTTCTCCTCCTCAAATGACCCTTACTTCTCTACCTCATCCTGAGATGGCCCCCTCTCCATGACTCTACTCTTTCGATGTTGTTGCTGCCTCCCTCCTTTGACACCTTCTCCGTCGGGAAGCCTCAGATTTATAGTCATTTATCTCCTTATTAACAATGCAGTCACCGATATTGCCACATGGGCTCTATCCGCCACAACCCGAACTCTTTTTCTTTCTTGCTGCCTTTCTCCGGACTCCTCAGCCATCAGATACATGAACGTTGCCACTGGCGTCGACTATCTTCTTCTTCTACAATGGAACTGCCTTTGGCCGTCGATTTTTCTCTGTTCTTTTTCGACGAGTAGCCGTTGTTAGCCGCCATCGGTAGAGCTCTGCCACCGTCACCTCCATTTCCGTTGTCTACATCTATCCTTTTTATGTTTTGTTCTTTTCGCTCTTTCTCCATTTTAATCATCTCCTCCCGAACAAACTGTGGGGGATGTTGGTATGTTAGCATCAAGGGTTTAGGCCCAAGGCCCTTCGGGTTTAGGTTAGGACAAGGGCCCCTTATGTATTCCTATTTATATGAGGTTTAACCCTTACTATTAATGAAGAAAGTCATTATCTTAAAAGAACAAATCTACCTTTCCCATGGTTAGGGGAAAAATACCATGATTTGGTACTTACTACCTTTCCAATGGCTACGGAAAAAGACCAAGGTTGGGGATAGGGTTTTCCATGTTTGTGTAAAACTTCCCATGGTTTTCGGAATGGAAACACCATGTTTCTTCTTTCATAGACATCTCAGGTGTGTAGGAAGGATACCTACAATTGTTGGAATGTAACTCACAACCCCATTAATAAAACTCATAGCTATGTGTCTTCCATCTTACTTTGCACGGCTCATTTTTGGTAATATATATATATATATATATATATATATATATATATATATATATATATATATAATGCCTTTTCAAACCCATCAAATTTCACATGTTCAAGAGTGTTTGTGGACCATAGGACGCTTATCAGGCTCATAATAACTCACCTCTTGGACGAACACCAATGCTGATACCCTTTTACACCATCAACATGTCCAAAAATGCCTCTTTCTTTGCTAGAGATTCCAACTTTTCTTCATTAGCATGGAAATAAGCAATGCAATTAATAAATTTAAGACCTACATAATTTGTTGATTTCCATGAACAAACCTCAAAGGGATTCTTACACTCGATAGTCTTCATTGATGACCAATCCTACAAAATAATAGATTGTGTTGACCACCCTAGTCCATAATGCTAACCAACCAGATGCTTAAGAGGAACCGCCTATCATTTTCAAAAGATATTAGGTCTATGCTCACAAACATAAGTTTTATTTAAGAGTGTATTGACCATGTTTTGTCTTGTAATGTTGTTTTCCATATAAAGTTCTTCAAACTCATTTGAGTAAAATTCCATCATGTTTTTGATTAGTTGGAGCCACTTGGATAACCTGTTTGATTTTCTACAAAAATCTTCTAACCTTCAAATTTCTCAAAGACTATATCCACAGTTTTCATCAAGAAAACCAACTATAATCTATAATGGAGAGAAATACCTTTCACATCCTAAATATGGCTTATGGGTGGGACTCCACTTGTCCAAATGTAAATTATAAGGGTTCCCTAACCCTTGAAAGAATTTAGTGAAAACAAGCCGATTTTTCTAACAGTACACATAATGCTCACAAACTCCAACTTCTTTACTTTCTTGTTCTTCGGAACATGTCGTACCTATGTGAGTGTTCTTACAATTTCACCGTGAATCTGGATGTTGATTGAATTGATGCTAGTAATCTTACATTAATCTTTAGTTTCCATGAATACGTTACATGCATAAACTCTTTTGTATGTAACATACCCTGCCCGATTTAGGTATACATGAAAGGAACACCAAAAATTGAGTACTGGTTTGATTTGAAGATTGTAATCCACAATCGTAAGATGATAATAGTTTCTTAAATTGAGGTCATCGGTTACCACATTCGTCTGGAACATAATTCCTTTATTATTAGGACAATCCTATTTCAAATGCTCATTGCTGCCACACTTGTGGCAACCATCTCACGGTTGGTCTTTTTATCAGGATATCTTGATCTACCCCTCATTTGCTTTTTTATGCTCCCAATTTTGACACATATATGATTTGACCTTCACCACATAAGACACAACTATTTGATCTATACCAAAAAATGTTAGTGATTTTAGTGTTATTGGACATTTTATGTAATAGGAACTTACATGTGAGCTAAGAGGCTTATTGTTTGTACTCTATAATATATGTTTGGTGAATACGAAATGCATGAATATATACGATCGAATTATCAACCGGTACGACCAAAAGACAGTGGTCTTAGGAAATTTGAATCGGTACAGAAAAACGAATTTTGGTGGGTGATTGTGGTAATATTGAAAAATCTTGTTGGTTTTGTAAACTATTGATTATGCCATTAAATTTGAGATTCTCCTAACTAATTTGGAAGATAACAACCCTAATCTGTCATGTATATACATGAGCCCTCTTTTGAGCCGTAGATAGAACCCTTCTCCAAAATTATATGGCCATCTGGCTTGTGTTTCTATGCCTACATACACAAGTGCCCTTTTGAATTATCCTAAACTGGATCTCCTATAACCGAAGCATAGTGTGAAAATATAAGTTTGGAAAGTGAAGTTACCCAATCCATCACGAATCCGGTTCTCCACCATCACCCTAATATTCTAATATCCCCCAACAAACAACACCCAATTCCTTGTGCCTCAACTCTTGAGAACGTAAACATGGTCTCCCCTCATCTAATGTAACAATGTCTTGTTCAACTACAAATACGTTTACGAAGTTGTCAAATAAAGGTGGAAATGATAGTAGAAGCGTGACGTTCATGTCTCTGTCGTTTTTTTAATTCATTTTTTAAAAAAAATCTATTATGATGAAATTAAGCTCATCCAAATGCCCTTCCAAAACATAACATTCCTTCATTTTAAGAGAAAACAAGTATTGCTTATAAGCTTGTTTGCGAAACATGCCTAAGTCATATGTAAATGGACCTTTTCTTCTGTTTTGTTACCATACCAAAATGGTAGCGACTAGCGAGCAATAATATACAACATAATACTCCAAGTGAGTAATCATGCGAAGGATATAGATCATATTTAAGGATCATAGATGTTTATTTATATCATGTAATCCATTAGTTTAGTAAGTTTACTTTTTTACTCTCTATGTAACATCTTTATAACGAATTTATAAAAAAGGTTGTTAATTATGTCATTTAACTGAAATTTCAAAATGGCATACACATTCAGCTAAAGACATAGATAGAGTTCCAACAGAAAGAGAAACTGAAGACGCAGATATTGTTTCAGCAGAAACAGAAGCTCCAAACAAAGATAGGGTTCCAACAGAAACAACAAAAGATATCGATATGGATTCACTAGAAACAGAAACAGACGACAAAAGCAATGTTCCAATTGAGACAAAAATAGAAGAAAAAGAAACACTTCGAACAGAAACAAAACCTCAAGACATAATTTTAACAGATATACAAATAAAAGTTGAAGACCCAAAAAGCGAAGGCAAAAACAAGATCACACGCAACAAGGAGTTGCTTAAGGCTATTGTGCAAGGGAGATGGTGGGAAGTAGAATCAACACTAAAAGAAGATAAAGCCGCAGCCACAGAGGCAATAAACAGTGATGGCAACACAGTGCTTCATATAGCTGTTGGAATAGGTCGTAACATTCTGGTCAATGAAATATTATCTTTAATAGAACCCGGACAATTACCTTATATTGTAAATTTAGATGGAAGCACTGCCCTTCACATTGCAGCAATCGTTGGCAACACAGAAGCAGCAACGCTCTTGATTAAAAAAGACAGAAGTTTGTTGGAAATTGAAGACAATAAATATGAAACACCTTTGCATAAAGCTTTTCAAAATATGCATCTTGACACCATCGAATATTTGTTGAAAGCTGTGAATGATGATGGGAAACCCACGAAACAATCTTCTACTTTAGAGGATTCTGTTAGCCCTGGTGTGAAAGTAGGCGTTAACCTTCTTGTTAATGCTGTTTCTGCAAAGCAGTATGGTGCGTACCCAATCTATATATACAGAAACACGTTGATCCAAAGACTTAATGTTCACAGTTTTTCAAATATGCTTGCAGATTTAGCAACAAAGTTAGTCAAAAAGTTTCCAAAATTTGCTGTGGAAAATGATAATGTACTGCTGGCAATAGCTAAAACTTTTCCCATGGGGCTGGACTACTGGGAAACACTTATATATCCAAGTAAGTTTCTAATATACTAGAGATATATTTAATATATAGTCTCTTTGTTGTTATTTATTATGGTTTTAATTTCCTCTTTCAGTTAAGGATAATATCTATGAAAGGATAGTAAGGAGAAGTTGGGAATTGGTTGAAATATTACAAGATTACTATGAAGCTGTAACCGAACTCATACAGGATATAGCTGATGACATGATTCTTATTATACCACTCATACTACTCTTCATCTTTGGTGGTGAGCTATTTATAACCCGTAGATACAGTTTAAGAAATAATCATATATGAACTTGAAAAGTAATCGTATTTTTCTAATAAAAGTTTTGTGCTTGTACAGGTCCAGTATTGATGTTTATTTTGATCTATCGATTCATTCGCCTCTTCATATTGATAGTTTATTTCCCATTCTTTATGTTTTATTTCCTCTTGTGGAACGTTGCTACAAAAGTAGGTAAGAGAATATGGAGCTAATCCAATGCTAAGTGAGTTTTAGATATAAATCTAATATGTTTACAGGATATACTTCTAAAATAAGTTTTTATATATATTAACTTGCAGTTGCACCCATTAAGCATATCCATAAGAAAAAGAAGGAATGGGTAGAAGGAAAAGAAGTTCTAAAATTAGTATGTGATGAAATAGACAAGTCGGAGCTCCCTGATGCTCACCCTCGCTATTACACAAACCCGATTCTTGAGGCTGCACGTCAAAACGCTTATGAGGTTGTTGATGAGATTTTAATGAGATGCCCCGAAGCAATTCGGTATAAAGATAAAAGTGGGTATGACATCATACAGTTAGCAGTAATACACCGTTCAGAAAAAATCTACAACCTTATCAATATCATTGGGGAGCGTAGGAGTGTTTACAGAATGATCGAAGATTCTTCTAAGAATAATATGTTGCACTTGGCTGGAAGATTAGCTCCTTCGCATAAACTAAAGCTTAGAACCGGTGCAGCATTACAACTACAAAGAGAGCTTCAATGGCGTGAGGTACATCCTTAATTAATTGTATAGCATTTTATTACTTGTTGGGTGCATAAACCGGCTGAATTAATTCTCTACAGGAAGTGAAGAAGCTCGTATTTCCATCATACATTACCAGAGAGAATATATTTATGGAGACACCTGATATGGTGTTCACAAAGGAACATGCCAACTTGGTAAAGGAGGGAGAAAAGTGGATGAAAGCCGTAGCCGAATCATGCAGCATCACTGCAGCATTAATTACCACAATTGTATTTGCAGCAGCAATTACTGTACCAGGTGGAAGCGATCAAACTACAGGCACACCATTGTTTACAGGCCACCCTGCGTTCGCTTTGTTTGCTTTATCAGACGCCATCTCCTTATTTGCATCAAGTACGTCATTACTAATGTTCTTGTCGATACTCACTGGACGTTTTTCTGAGCAAGATTTTCTAGTCAGTTTGCCAAGACGATTGATTATTGGTCTTTGTACCTTGATGTTGTCTACAACTACCATGATAGCGGCCTTCGGCGCGACCTTGTATATGGTATTTTGTCATAGAGAAACATGGAATATTGTTTTAACATGTGTATTAGCTTCTGTTCCAGTTGCTTCGTTTGGTACTCTTCAAATTCCCCTCATAGTAGATCTGTTTCGATCGACATACGTACGCACATTTGGAAAGCCAAGCAACCACAATAATATTAGATTTAATCCGGACCACATTCGGTTATTTTTCGGTAAGTGAAATGAATATGAATCTTCAAATCAACAAAGATAAAGAGCAGATTCAAGTGAAGTCAAAGCATAATATCTTGTCGAATTTGACATAGGAGACCCAAGATGACTTGCAAAGTGATTTGAATGATGAAATCCTCATAAGGATGGAGAATAAAGTTGTAAAACATGTAAATTTTGATATGTAACACTATTATGTTGGTACTTTGGGATTCATAATAGTTGTAACATAACTAAGTGTAAAGTTCATTGGCATTGCAGGTTAACGCCTAATTGGTAAATAGATTTTTGGATGGGGTTATATGTGAATCCTTGCGTTAATTGAGGGTGCAACGTATGTAAATGTTTAAAGAAACTACGTGTGCGTATGGTAATGAGAAATGGAATTGAAGTAGAGAATGAAAATGGCGAGAAAAATAATTAAGCTAGAGAAAGAAAACTGATTCCACTGTCTCTCCGGTACAACTAAGAATTAACCATAAGAATGTACATGAAAATCAATTATCTTGTTTGGTTGGAGTAGTCAATGAAATGAAAATGAATTTTTACCATGTTTATACTTCTCAAAAACAATCTTTTACAATTATGTTAATTAATATTTTGATATTTTATTTAAATTTTATAAAGTATCTTATTTAAATTTTTTAAAGCCCATCTCACAAACTGAAAATACATTGGTTGATTATATTTTTATATCATAAACATTTACATAGATATTTTTAAAGGAATTTGCCATTTGGTAATCACAAACATTTAAGTCACCAAAATGGAAGTGCAAATATGAAATATAACTTTCATAATGGAACAAAATAAAAACACAAGATCTAAGCAACATAAAATTCTTAATCCTTAATAAAGTAAAATCTTGAGAGCACACACATACTACAGAAGAATGTAATAAACAAGTTGACACAAATGAAGAATCACAATTTGTTAATGTTGTTATATGCATCGAGTGCACAAGCAGGTTTATATCCTTTTTTTGCTTCACTGGAACTTGATGAACTTCTCTGCAACTATCAGAAAGATTGTCTCTATTAGTTGCTCCAACCTTGCAAACTCTACATGAATGCATATGGTTGGTCATTTATTTTAAAATACCACATAAGTTATCTTCATCATCCATCATATTTTCTTGGTTCTTTCTTTTTAAGTTTTGGTGTAGGCTTCTAACCAGACAGTTTGATACACTAAATACCTTGTTATTGGACATCTGCAACAATACATCAATTCCTACTAGCTGAGCATGAATATCATGGTTGAACAATTGCAAGACTCTAATTCATGTTCTTTATTTTTGTTGGTTGGGTTGATTCATTTTTGTTTATAGTTTCACCTTTTAGGAACAACTCTTTTCTTTCTACCCTTACAGTTAACACATTAAAATTGAAAATAGAGATACCAATAGTAATAAACATGAGTGAAAGAAGCACGGACACAGATACTATATTGCTACGCATCGTGATTTGCACTCCATCACATTGTAATGCGAATACATTTACGTGAAATTTCATAATTGATGCCTAGAAAATACATGAAAAGAATAAAAATCAAAATCAAAGGAGTCACCCTTAATTAAACCAAAAGGATCAATTTAACTACTTAGTCATTGTTTTCAGACTTTTGTTCAAACCAAGTAATAAACGTAGTTCCAAAAAAAAAGGGAAAGAAAACCTTGGTTTCCATATCAGAGAATGCGAGTTTTGTTTTAGTAAGAATGAAGCCTAATAAAACATATCAAGAAACAAGAATAAGAAGTAATAAGAAACAGGAATCATTAAAAACTTTGGTAACAAAAGTTGTTTACATATAGCTAATAGAGTCATTAAACCAAAAGCCATTCTATAAGCAAAACTAATTCTAAAAACGTGAACTTGAAGTCAAGAAAGGAAACAAATCGTTGAAGACCGATAAAACGGATCAACGCCTTGTCTAACTAGAAATCAACTCATGCCAGATACATAAATTGGCATAAAGGAGTCCACATAATGGTTTTGGGGAAAAATCATATGTCACAACCTAACGAGCCAAATATGGAACGCGCTCATCTCATGAGTACCACGACATGACAGTAAGGTGTCCATGATGTGGCAGTTGTTTTGGCCTAAGCCCATGATTTCAGGGGTTCTCTAATATTTAACCGTCATATCCCAAGGATTAGGGTATCCTCATTGGCCTCCATTACTCTTAAACCATAGAAACCCTAACTAGGGATGAAAGTGGGTCCAAACCCAGACCGGATGGACCCGAACCCGGAAAACCCGGAACCGTCTAACGATATTTTTTAGAACTAGAAACTGGACTGGTATATAGGAACCGGTTCCGGGTATGGTACGGGTAAAGTGGGTCTAGAACCAAAAAACTCAGAAATAGGAAAGTGGGTAAGGTGGAACCGGGTAAAATGATTTTAGAGCCGAAAAACCCGAATTATTATTATTATTATTATTATTATTATTATTATTATTATCATCATAATTATTATTATTATTATTATTATTATTATTATTATTATTATTATTATATTTATTATTATTATTATTATTTTGTAATTACCTCAATCGCATAATCTTTCAACCATTATAAAAAAAATTAAAAAACAAAAAATTACATTTAGACTATTGATGACATTGATTTTTTTAAAGTAGTGTGATATAATAGGATTAAAAAAAATTACATTTAGGTTACTGTGAAAGTTATGTGATTGTAATATGTAATGTATGTTTATAGGGATGAACATAAAGAGGTTCTTTGGCCCAGTAAACCCGGTTTCAATTTTTTAAACAAAACCGGTTCAAAAAATGTCATTGCACTCAACTGGTAAAGCCATGTGCTCATGCAAAATAGACTCGCGTGCGAAACATATAGGCCCCCAATTTATTTTTTAGTTAAATTTGGGTTTTATTCTGCATTTATTGATAATTTGTGGAGGTCTGATTTTGTTTATTTTGACATTTAAACTCCTTTAAAAATACGTTGTTTTTCTTAAATTTAAACTTGAACTTTATACTATATATATACTATATGTACATAAATCAATTTGTTACATAGCAAATATAAATTTTGGTTTAGTTCAGAAAATAAGTTCCACAATAAACTCGTTTCCTATACCGGTTCCACATTAAACCCGGTTCCGATTTTTTAACCCGGACCCGGTCCATTAAACCCGGTTACAGTTTTTTTAACAAAACCGGTTCAAAAACCCGGATTAACCGGACCGTTGGACCCATACCCGAAATACCCTGAACCCAGATGAGAGTAATTTTGAAACCCAATATACGGACCGTTTAACCATTTTTCGGTTATACCTGTTCCAGTTCCGATTCGATTCCGGTTCGGATCCAGTTTTCCAATTTTATAACTCATCTGTAACCCTAACCCCAATCCCCCTTGGTGATTCTTGGCTCATTTTGGTGGTTTTGTAGCTTGAAGAATAATAAGAAGATGTTTTAGTGTGTTAATCCAACAAGGAAACTTCATCATTATTTTGTTGTGCATATTTTGGAACTTGGTAAGTCCTTAAGTTTCCATATGTTAATCTTTTCCTCTTTAGATCTGGGTTTTATGTCATGTTTTGTTACCTTTGATGTGGTTTGTATGGTTCGAAGAGATAAAGATTGCAACTTTATGGTTTATGTGAGCCCCTTGAGCATCAATATAGGATTTGGCGGTGGTTTGAAGACTTTGCATGAATTTTAGGTCATATTTCGTCTTTTGACATAAATTTGGGAAAGGGCATGCATGGGGCATACATATCCATAAAGTTTAAATTTTTAGGGATCATTATGGTCCCTAAAATGCTTCTGGAAGTTTTGAATTGGAGACTTTAAGGATTAAGTTCTTAATAGGTGATTTCATGCCTTGAATGCCATGAAGGACTTAGGATTTGAGATCTTGGCTTATTGGGATGTCTTAAGGGATAAAGTTGCAAACATTATCCATCATGACCTTGGGAAGAATTAGATGTGAGCTTTGGGACTCATGGAATGGATAACAAATAGATTAACGCATTAAGTTGTTAAAACGCGATACCCACAATATGGCATCAAGTCGTCACGATGTGGTGACTGTGGGATTAGTCAACTATTTTTCTTATTCTACCACGACGTGGCTAATAGAATGCTGAGGTTGACTTAGACTAATTCCTTGACCATTGGCTTGTTTACCTAGTTTGAATTTTGGCTTATTGCTAGTTCTTGAGTATAGACTAAGGTTAAACCTTGTTTGATTCGATAGGTGTGTTGTAGCACCATTTGTATGGCATTGAGCTGAGTTTTAGTTGACTTCGAGACATAAATGAGTCTTCTGACTATACTCTGTAGGATTGTAGTTGTCTTTATGACTTATTTATTGATATGATGGGTTGGGCCCGTTGCTTGTTGAGTTGGGCCCATTTGTATGTTGGGCTAGGCCTATTAGAATGATGGGCTGTGCCCATTGCTATGTTGGACTGGGCCCATTTCTATGTTGCGTTGGGCCTGTTTGTATGTTAGGCTAGGCTCGTTCGAATGTTGGGTTGGGCATGTTTGGATGATGGTTTAGGCCCGTTCGAATTATGGGTTGGGCCCATTGATATGTTGGGCTCGGCCTGTTTGTATGTTGGGTTGGGTTTATTTATATAGTAGGATGGGCTCGTTGTTACGTTGGATTGGGTCGTTTGTATGCTGGGTCAGGCTCATCTTGTATGTTGGGCTAGGCCTTTCGAATGATGGGGTGGGCCATTGCATGTTTGGCTGGGCCCGTCTATATGCTGGATTGGGCTTTTTTCTTATGGGGTTGGGCTTGTTCAAATGCTGGGTTGGACCCTTTCAAATGCTAGGTTGGGTCTCTTAGTATGTTGGGTTGGGCCCCCTTTTTATGTTGGATTGCGCCCGTTGTATGGTATGTGAGATTTTAGGAAACTTAGTAAGCTTTGTGATTATGGTTTTGTGGTTTAAACATTTTTTAGGTACTTCCGGTACCAAAGGGAAGGGCATGACTTGACTGCACTACACCCCCTGATGATTTTTCCGCACTAATGATTGTTGTCTACATTTATGTTTGTAATACATTTTGCTATGATTGATTTTGGGAAACAAGCATTGATGTATGGATTTGATGTTTTAAAATGATTTTTTTTTGATATTTTTTGGATATTACTATAAATCGACCAAATCAACATAATAAGGGCGTGTTTAGGATTGCTTCTCAAACTCTTTATTGACTTTTTGGAAAGTCAGGAATTCCTGACTTTTTGAAAAAAGCCATTTTCTTCACTTAAACGTTACTGTTTACCAAACACCTTTTAACAACATTTTGAAAAACCAATAAGTTACTAAGTCATTTTAAAAAACAATCCCAAACATCCCATAAATATAAATCTAGTAATTGGAATTTAGGTTTGGAAAATCGACCCACAAAGTTGTCGGGATAAAGAAATCCCCACTAGGTCATGAATCTATGTGAAGCATGAAATCAAGAAGTAGTAGTTGTAACCAAATAAATTTCTAAGGAGACGAAAATAATGACGGAAGAAAGATAAACATCGACGAAAAAATGTCTGCTCATTTACCCGCGTATCAAACACATAGGCGAGATAACCCATACAACCATGCTGAATATTCTATCGAGCCTTGGCCACCGAACAAAACCGTGGCCCAATCTTGGTACCCTCTCTATAGATGACCATTTCTCCCCACTTGGGGTTCAAACTACCGCTTGCTGACCCTTACAGTCTATTATATCACCAAAATTGCTCAGCCAATACATCCCTACTATTACACATACATCCCCCATGTGGATAGGGATCAAATAAATTGGATAAGGCACCACGAAGATCTTTAATTCACAACCCTGATACACCCTGGATGCAGAAACCCCAAGCTCGTTAGTGATAGAAACCCGCTTCAGGCACTCCAGCTCGCCAAGGAGCATATAGAAATCCCTACTGAAGGATTGAGATACAAAGGACTGACTCACACCTGAGTCAAATAAACATAAGCATACCATAAATAATCAACAAGATGATAAATGGAAACATATTAGGAACGACGTCTGATGCCGCACCGACCTCCTCTGTCGTGAGCTGAAAAGCACAACCCTAAGCCCTCAGGGGCTCCACCTTAACCTGGAGCCCATTGATGATCCTCAAAGTAGTTGGCATTGGGGCTGTTTCGGTCCCTCTGTGAACAAAGGACAGTTGGCCTTAATATGGCCAACATGATAATAATGATAACATGTACTGGTGGTCGGTGTGGGGATGTGCTAGCAGCAGTCCTTGGCATAATGCCAATACTTGCCACAAGTGCGGTTCTTTTAACTCCCAGATCTCGCATCAGTCTCCTTGAACCACTTCAACGTAAGCTGCATCCGCACCAGAGCCTGCCTCTGCTCCTCGCCAGGAGCTCCACCTCAATATCCCGCCTCCTAGTAGCCTCCTGTAATTCTATAAGCGAACCATAACGCCGAGTATACACAAAGTAGCTGATATCCATCTTAAGCATGCTCAAGTACCAGGTCATCTGAGCTTACTCAAAAGCACAAAACTCAGGACAAAAGAGTGCTCTCTCAGTAAACATCTTAGTGGTCTCCATAACCGAATCAGTCCCCTGCTTCAAATACAAATACTCTTGGGCCAATATCTTCCTCTCAACCAATAGAACATATCTCGTACGGAGCATCTCAGAGAACTGCTCCCATGAAATAGTAGCTCTCTTCTTCAGAGTGTAAGAGATAGTAACAAACCTCCACCAATCCGTCATGTGACAACTGTCAAAATTTGAGACAACTCTAAATTTGAATAAACTTAGTTGCACGTATAGGCATGACACATACTAGACTTGGTAACTAGAAGCTATGTTATAACCTACTAGAAACATGGAAACAAGTAGAATCGAAGATAATGTACTTAGATTTCACATTGGTATGTGGATTCTACAACTACTTAACTGTAATGACTATCCATATTTGAGTCATTCCTTGAATTGAACCACTTTGCATGAATCATGTAGACACATCATGCACTTGACCTAGAAGTAGAAATTAGGTTAAAGTCTCATAGAAACTTAAGTTAAAGTTGAAAACTAGGACTAGTATACTTGATTCCTCAATTTCTCTCCAATCAAACAAACACGTTTTTTTGTCGCCGCTAAGGGCTTATGTTGGCGATTCGCGTCATTTCACCCCTAACCGTCGGTTTAGGCGATGATCCAACGAATAGGAGGACATAGAAAACTCCATATTGTTTTCCCTTCGGTTTGTCACTGCTAAAGGCTATCCGTTGCCGCTATTGCCTGTTCTGGCGATCCGCGTCATTTCAACCCTATCCGTCGATTTAAACAATGATCCAACGACTTTGGAAACCCCATATTGTTTTCCCTCAGATGTGTCGCCACTAAAGGCGTCACCTCTAAAGAGTGTCGACAATAAAATCTGCTTCATCTTCACTTTCTTCCTTGATCTTCTGTTTCTTCTCTCTTCTCTCTACTCACCACTGTCAATCTCATCGGAATTTCATCGAATTCTTCTATATTTCACCCTTCTTCCTCTATATTTTTTCCTATTTTCTTTTCCTTTTCTCTTCTCCTAACTAAATTTGTGTTGGTTGTCGGAATTTTGAGATCCCCCACCGTTCTCTCCGGAGTTTATCGCCACCACCACTGTTCATGACGAAATTTTGATATCTTAGATGTGTATTTGTAGATGTGGATATGTATTTGTATTTGCATTTGTATATATATATATATATATATATATATATATATATGTGTGTGTGTGTGTGTGTGTGTGTGTGTGTGTGTGTGCGTGCGTGTATCTTGAGTGTATTTTATGTATGTATATGTTTATTTTGTATGTGAATTATGTATATGTATGTGTTTTTGTATGTATATGTGTATTTTGTATGTTTATTTGTATGTATAAAAATAGATATAAATAGCGGCGATACCTTTAGTGGCGACAGATAGTCTTAGCAGCGACACACTTTTAGCGGCGACTCAATTTTAGCGGCGACGGAAGGCAATAGCGGCGACCAGTGGAGCATTAGCGACGAACCAAAAACAGCGACCCTTTAGCGGCGATAGGTCGCCGCTAATACCTTAGCAGCGACACTCGTCGCCGCTAATACTCGAATTTCTTGTAGTGTAAGTCATATCTAAATGGACCTTATCTTCTGTTTTGTAACCATACCAAAATGGCAACGAGCAATAATATACAGCATAAAACTCCAAGTGAGTAATCATGCGAATGATATAGATTATATTTAAGGATCGTAGATGTTTCTTTATATCATGTAATCGATTAGTTTAGTAAGTTTACTTTTTTACTCATTATGTAACATCTTTATAACGAATTTCTAATAAAGGTTCTTAATTATGTCATTTAACTGAAATTTCAAAATGGCATACACATTCAGCTAAAGACATAGATAGAGTTCCAACAGAAAGAGAAACTGAAGACGCAGATATTGTTTCAGCAGAAACAGAAGCTCCAAACAAAGATAGGGTTCCAACAGAAACAACAAAAGATATAGATATGGATTCACTAGAAACAGAAACAGACGACAAAAGCAATGTTCCAATTGAGACAAAAATAGAAGAAAAAGAAACACTTCGAACAGAAACAAAACCTCAAGACATAATTTTAACAGATATACAAATAAAAGTTGAAGACCCAAAAAGCGAAGGCAAAAACAAGATCACACGCAACAAGGAGTTGCTTAAGGCTATTGTGCAAGGGAGATGGTGGGAAGTAGAATCAACACTAAAAGAAGATAAAGCCGCAGCCACAGAGGCAATAAACAGTGATGGCAACACTGTGCTTCATATAGCCGTTGGAATAGGTCGTAATTTTATCGTCAGTGAAATATTATCTTTAATCAAACCCGGGCAATTACTTAAAATGGTAAATTTAGATGGAAGCACTGCCCTTCAGATTGCAGCAATTGTTGGCAACACAGAAGCAGCAATGATCTTGATTAAAAATGACAGAGGTTTGTTGGAAATTCCAGACCATAAAGGTGAAATACCTTTGGAGAAAGCTTATGAAAATATGCATCTTGACACCGTCGAATATTTGTTGAAAGCTATGGATGATGATGGAAAACCCAAGAAACAATCTTGTACTTTAGAGGATTCTGTTAGCCGGGCCCTGGTGTGAAAGTAGGCGTTAACCTTCTTGTTAACGCTCTTTCTGCAAAGCAATATGGTGCGTACCCAATATATATATATATATATATATATATATATATATATATATATATATATATATATATATATATATATACTAGCCGTCTACCCGCGCAAAGCGGCGGGGCACGTGAGTTCTTTCGGTGATATGTTTCCATTACAAAATTGTTATGTTAAAAAAAAGTACATGTTGAAGACAATATAATCAAACTATGGTGTTATTTGTTACATCATGCATCAAATAACCAATAAAAAGCAACCAGTCAAGACAATACAAAATATTAATCGTGCAATACTTCTTTATACACCACATTTGCTGTATAAACCCCATCACCTTTTGAATTTTCGTTAGGCTGTACTAATACTTTTGTATTGCAACGTGAAACCCCTCTGGACAATGCAACATAAAGTTGTCCATGCGAGAATACTGGTTCTGGAAGATAGATACCTACATATGGAATTGTTTGTCCCTGAGCTTTATTGATTGTCATTGCAAAGCACAATCGAATAGGAAACTGTTTCCTCTTTAGCTTGAATGGGAACATATCATCATCAGATGGACATAAAGGAATCTTAGGCAAAAATATCCTTGTTCCTGCATGTTGACCAACAGCTATTTCTGCATCAATAACATTTTGCTGAAAGCTTCTACATATCAATCGGGTGCCATTACACAACCCATTTGCTGGGTCAATATTCCGTAACAGTATTATCGGACATCCAACTTTTAATCGAAGGTAATGCGGAGGTAAACCACTAACACTGATCGAGTTTAAGAATTCCAACGGATAGAAGCCATTTTTATCATCTATGGCTTCATCGACACTATAGTAAATTCTCTCTTCTCCTTGAAATCGATCGATCATGTAATCGTTAATCGCATCGACACTATCATTTTTTGTAGATAATATTGCCCGCGATATGATATAATCTGATTCAGACCTATTAAATTCCAATGAGGGAAACACTGCATCAATCAAAGAATCTAATGATTTTTCTTTATCAGTGTATGGAATGACCATATCATCAGGGATGCGAATAAAACTTCCGTCCACTGTTTCTTCAACTCCATCACCAACCCGTAATAGAAAGTTTGAGAACCATGGATCAGTAAGTGCTCTCATATTTATTGTTAACCGCAACTTTATAATCGAAGACCAAAGAGGCGACATTCGTAGGCTAGAGTCTACAATTTGTGCTCGTGTCCCACGTCTTACGACTGGCAATACTTGTCTAAAATCGCCTCCCAGAACCATTATCTTTCCACCAAAAGGGAGTGCCACCCCAGTGATATCTTGCATTGTCCGATCAAACGCCTCCACCACCTGTCGCTTTGCCATCGATGCCTCATCCCATATGATTATTTTTGCAAGCCGAAGTAGTTGAGCGGTACCGCTTTGTTTTTGGATTCTACAGAATGAGTTATTATCTGGAGTTAGAGGAAGTTTGAAACGCGAGTGAGCTGTTCTCCCCCAGGCATGTTATTAGCCGCAACACCCGATGAAGCTGTGGCGAGTGCAATATGACCAAGTTTGCGTATATTAGCAAGTAAAGCTTTGTACAGATATGTTTTTCCTGTTCCGCCAGGACCATCTATGAAGAACACTCCTGTACAATCAGTACACACATGCCTCATGATCTCATCATATGCATATTTTTGTTCAGGATTGAGAAACTCTTTGGCACGCAAATGGTCATCTTCCACAATTATAGAGCATTCTTCTTGTACCTCTCGAAAAACTCCAGACTGAAAATTCAAATCGGTGTTTACAGTCGGGAGATCAAAGTTATCAAGCTTGTTACCCATAGACTGTAGGAATACGCTTATGTCTGTAAGGACCATATTTTGTACTCGATTGACATTATCGTATTGTCTACTATAATCTTCGGAGAGAGAATTGTAGTGGGAATTCCATATCTTGCGAACATCTCCAGGATCACAAAAACTAATATCGTTGCAAACAACCTTCTGAGAGCATTTGGAAACTGAAACAAGGAGGCCTCTACAAGACACTGCGATAAACTATCATCTGTCTCTATTAACCCTCTTTCAAGAGCCGCTTTTCGAAATGTGGGATGTCTTACGTTATTGACTGTGTACAGATCTTCAAAACATGTAGGACCCTAACATGACATAATAACACACGTAGATAGTATCGCTCACCTTCAGCAGGATTTGCAGAAACCAAACGACCAACTGCTCGTGATACTTTTCGAGGATTCCATAGACGCGATTCTTTATTCCATGTGAAGTGTTTGGGAAAATCTTTGTATAAATATTCTCTTGCATTAACGTTATCTTTATTCATCTTGAAAAATGCAGTCAACATTGATCTCTTATCTTTCTCCCTCTCAACAACTGATTTCATTGCATCATCATCAGTGAACCTAACCAACTGTTGGTTTGGAAGATGCAATTGCAAAGTGATCACATTAGGGTGGATTTGATTAAGAGAAAAGCTAAAAATTCGCCATACTGCTTCTGGAGCGGAGACGTATCGTGCATCCTGAAAACGTTTTATCTCATTGATAACAACAGGTTGTGCATCTGGATCAATATGGATAACTTGCTTGTCATGACCCTTGTAAATATACTTAAAGATGTATTTCACTGATGTTATACTCGAGCAAACCTCAACATTTAGATGGCAGTTGAACATCATCAACAACTTTGGGTTATATGGGACAACCCATCTATTATCCATCATAATACCTTGTTTATTCACAGCAATTCCATTATCTCTCCTTCGATAAACCGGATATGTGTCCTTTCCTTGTGTTGTGGCTTCGTTGAATTGTCGAGGGTATCTAAAACGACAGGTTGGTGGATCACCTTGCATACAAGAACATTTTTTGTTTAATGTACCACAAGGACCATGTATCATGTGTGATTTGACCAGATCGTGTAGTATAGGATACTTTGTCGGGTTTGGAATTTCGGCACACACATACTTGTCATAATGGTCTGTATTGGTGAGCTTCCATTCAGGTTTCATTATTAAGAGAAAATGAGCATGTGGTAAACCACGTTTCTGGAACTCTATTACATAAACATATGCACTCACCACACCAAGGACGTGCCTCTTCAAGAGTTGTTCCTTAAGGTCATGTAACTTAGCACGAAAAACTCTTGCAACCAGATCTGGTCTATCTTGTGCTGTTTGAAAATGAAGTAACTCATTTTGGATTTCAGGCCAATTCGGATTGCACGTTATTGTAAGGAATATATCAGGTTTCCCTCCATCTTGAACTAAAGCCATAGCATCGAGAAATCGTCGTCGCATGTCACGAGGACCTCCGATGAAACTTGCTGGCAAAACAACACGTTGCCCAATCATACTTGCTTGTACCTCACCGGCATTGACACAATCCACAACACCTTGGTATAACTCCGCTCTTATTGTAGATTGGTTTTTTCTACAAAATTCCAAACGCGAAGTCTCAATCTTGATGTAGATATCTACCACAAATTGTTGTAATAATCTCCCTCCTAACATAATTACGTTCAAGTTTGATCGAATCTGCAACTTGTAACAGTAGTACTCCCGCATAGTTACAGTTTTCCTACCCGTTCTTATATCAGTCTCTACATAATGATTAAATTGAATAAATTATATCAATTTTTACATTTGTAAAATTTAACAATATTAAAATTGTGGCTATGCGTACCTTCTAGATCTTCATCGAAGATTTGGTCGTCATTAACCATCTCATTGAATGAAACCCCTTGCCTTAGTATGTTAGAATGCCATCCAGGCTCACCATTTGGAAAGAATAAAGGATAACACAATGGGTCATAACATCCCCAATAAGATTGAATTGTTTTTGGTTTGTCGGACCTTCCATATACTATAATACTTCTTTTATATGCGGTTATGTTGTCATTGCCTTCAATCCAAATACCAGCAACCTGTGAAATTATACAATAGAAAAAATATGATTAAAACTGGTACGTAATTTGCATAGTTATATTTAATACATGAAACATCTTTTTTCTCAAAAACATATGTACATAATTAATTTCAAACCTCGGATGTGGTTGGCCGGTTGTACACCCTTTGGTCTAGTTCTACTGATGCATTTAAAGTGACTCTGTAATTGTCGAGCGGTCCTAGATCAGCAAGGCTACGAAATATTGCAACGTATGGGTTTGTAGCAAGAACGCGAGTCAAAATTTCAACAATTGGTTTAGCAAGATTCTTCCATTCGAGTCTATTTGACATCTCAGCTTCAAC